CTGTGACAGCAAAATTATATAATTTCACTTGAATTGAGTTATAAAGATTTTTAAACACACACAGGTACTTACAGGTGTGTGCAGGTCCTCCCATTATAATCTTGTACTGTGATACGCTCTTGCTTAGGGAAATTAGACTTTTAATAACCTAAATCTCTTTCATAAGGAGTATTAACTTTTGTTCTATATCATTAGTGAAACTTTTTTTATTGTTATGTCTGGACCGATGGCAGCCATTCCTAAATCTGTCTTTACAGTACTAAAAGTAATATTTTTAAAATAATGTTAGATGAAGATAATACAAGGTAAAGCAAAATTATAAATTGTTGCATTTTAACTCCGTAAGAAGAGGTGCCAACAGCCAAAACACAAAAGCTGAAGCATAGCATTTCCCCTTGTGCTAAGCTAGACACTGCAAGGGGGCAGAGAGCCACAAAAGATGCTTCCCTGCAATTATTGTACTTATCTAGGAAATAACCTGAAAAGAGCCATCTGACAGGTGGTATGCCATATTTCTATTCCCTATTCCTAAGAAACCCCGATGCCTCTTTTCAGGAGGACTGGTTAGCTTCCTGAAGAGCAGAGAGCTGAATTTAAAGAGGCCTTGTTTTCCTTATGGATTTCTTTCCATTATTTTTCTCTTCTTTTTTTTTTTCTGGGTTGTGTGTGTGTTTGGGGATTTTTTTGTTTGTTTCTTTGCTTGTTTTTACTACAGAAAACAACTAATGATGGCCCTGTAATAATAAAAATTGGGACTGGCAAGAGCTGACTAGAAAAAAGACCAGCAAAAGCTGAGCTGCACGCTGCAGTCAATGAGGCAATGCTGATAACAGTGGCACAAATGACATTCCAAACACAGCTGACAAAGATGATAATGACAATTAAATACACCACTCTATACAGAAAATCAGGATTTAAGACTAGAAGTGAGAGAAACCTGGGAGAAAGGTCACAATTTCTTTACATTACACCTTCCTGTTCCTGATCTTCCATTTGGTTTTATTTTCTCTTTCTTCCAGCTCTTAATTGGCAACAATTCAACAGCATATGTGTTGTGGTTCAACATATAAGTTATCCTGCTGCATTCAAAGGGAATCTGTGGCACCTGCTTTAGTTGCTTGCCAAGATAAGGTCATTAGTGCTGCCTTTTTAACTGGTTCTGTTTTGCTTGCTCGTTGTCTCTAGGGTTACAGGTTTCTGCCATTGACTGCTCTTCCAACAATTCTCACTTTTCAAAGCAAGTACATTTTAAATTAACAGTGTATCTATAGTGTGTCTTGAGCCAATTATTTATGCGGTGGTATTCCACAGTGTGAGAAATGTATCTACTGTTATGTGTCCCATATTGGCTGCTATATGCTTTTACTAGATGCCTCCTTGAAGCTTCCTTGTTATGACATGAAGAAAGAAGAGGTTTCTTGTGGGCATAGGGCTTGCCTTTTTCTTTTTTCTAAACAGAGAGGAACCACGAGCAAGAAGAGGGTCTTTGCTTTCTTTCCCATGAGTAGGGTCCACACTCATGTCTTAAGTTGATGCAAATAACTAAGGACTCTGTCAAAATATTTTATAAACAGTTTCAGATCTTAGATCAAGCTCTCTTGCCAGTAAATAGAGTCAATATCACAAGATTCCTCCTTTTCCTGCTTGCCCACTATCTTCTCCAACTGAATACTACCAGGTCAATACCTAATCAAGATGCTCAGTTTAACCTCCTGAGCTTAATGGCCACTCAGCGGACATCATGCTATAAACAAGAATATTAATTACCATTCTCCCAGCCTGAAGCACATACTGAGGCTATAATCTAGCTCAAACACACTAGTGCTCAATCAAATTCATTGTCTCACATTTCTTGGTATCAAAACAAAAATTTTCAGATATACACATAGATGTGTAGAAATAATTTCACTGAACAAGGCCATTCCTGGAATGAAAAAATGCCCATGCAGGATATATTCACAGATATTTCTCAAGGTTGCAATAAGTACCTCGAGTGAGTATGGCCTGAGTTTTATTGCCCTTTGGTGTGAATGATGGTGGCAAAAGCACTGCTTAGTACAGGGGTGAATAGCGGCATGGTGGGAAAAGCAGTAGCCGAAATTATGGTCAGTTTGTGGACAGTTTTAAAATATATGTCTGAGATAAATTAGTCAGGTCAATTAGGCAAAGAAATAATCAATACATCAAAGAATGGTGCAAGGGGAAATTCCTGTCAGGGAGGAGTCTGTAATGAGCCAGAGGGTTTCACTGCACATGGTTGTTGCCTTAGCTATTTACCTCTATGGAAGCACAACTTTCTTGACAAGGGTCTCCCACACAGGGGAAGAATCTTCCTTTTGTAACAGACCTCAAAATAATTCAAGCTGTCTGCCAGTAATTAAATTCATTACATTAGCAACAGGTGGTGAAGCTGTAGTTTTCTCACATCTGTTATAGTTTTCGTGAGTCAGTATGTATTCCTTGCAAAAGCTATGTAAACCACACAGCAGAGAGATGGGTTGATGGCTGTCACCCAGACAGCCGCTGTGCTCACTCCTGTAGTTATCTATCTGAAGAGTAAAGTAGAGGAGATGTGAGAATATGTGGTAGACAGGAAGGGGTTTGGGCAGGATCCCAAAGGGTAGGAGGGTGGGGATTTAAAAGGGTGAAGAGATTTTATAGGTCTTCATTAGACTGAAAGAGGAAGAGAAGAATAAGAAAGAAAGGAAACTTGTGTAGTGTTCAGAGCATTACTTTGATATCTGTTTCAAGTCTCTGCTATACCACAGACTTTCTGTGTGGTCTAGAGTGTGTTTCTTGGTCATTCTGGTTTAGTAAATTAAAAACTTAGAATCCTTGGGAAATTTCATTGTCACTGGGGAAAACAGGCATAGAATAGCTCATGTGTGTTAGTGAATTTATCTCAGTCTCCAAAATACAATGCATTTCTGCAAACTGGTTATTGGGTATGGTGTACCATAGTGAAGAGGGCTGTGTATGTTGCAAGCTGAATTGTGGGTATTGAAGAGCTTGCTAAGAGAGAAAGCCTCTTTAATGCAAAGAACATGTGGAATGGCCACAGTTCTGGGTTGATCTGCATGATAGCTGGTTGTATACGTTACTCCTATAGAAGCGTAGAAAGGCATCCTGCTGCTGAGATGTGTCCTCACACAAGCTTTGAAGGGTAGCTGCAGGTCATTTTGCTGTACTTCACGGTGCTGGACTTCCCATGAATGTTTTCCATGTCTTTTCCACCTTCCTTCAAAACCCAGTTCTCTTTTGACTCAGAAAAGTTCTGTAATTTCACAGAGCTGTTTTTTGTTTTCTGAATAATGAGAGTAAGTATGTATGGAGAGCTGAGAGAAGTTCACAATCAATTTACTTCCATCAGTAATGACACAAGGTTTCAGTTTATGTTTAAGACATGCTGCCTTTATACCTCTCCTCAAAGACTGGTGTCTTCTCTAGCAATTCCTTTCATGGCAATACTGAGGGTACTTATTATGGCATTGAGCTACTGTTATGTGGTCAGTAAATTAATTTTCAGTTAAGGAATCTTTAAAAAAAGCCAGTTTAGAACAAAAATTATGTATCAGTGAGTTATTTTTAGAGGAATTTCTTCAGTTGTATCTTGTTCCATGACAATGAATAGATTATTGTAATTCTTTTCAAAGAATTATCATTTAACTCTACCAAACTTTGAACTAATAAAGTTTTGCAGGTTTAATGTTAATGGCTGTCATCATGCTGAGTTTATTTGGCTGAAACCTATTGTGAGGGACGGGGCTTCCCCAGCAAGACTTGGGCTTGCTGGAAGCTCTGTCATGGGCAGAGCCACACATCACTCAGTTCCTACTTGCTTCCGGGTAGAGCTGTATTGCTAGAAACTCCCACGTAGTCAAAAGACCGTCAGGGACCACAAATTTTTCTCAATGAATAGAGTTAGACAAAGGAAAATAATAACTCTTAAACTGTCTAAACCTCAAAACAACTGTTGTGCAGTTCTGGATGGAGATTGAACTGCACAGGGTGCAGATCCAGTCAGTCCTTCCTGCCATCCTCCACCATTTCACATCCTTGATTTTGCCAGATCCTGGGGCCAGTCTCGCATGATAGTGTTATACTTGTGGAGGACTGTGGAGGCACTGTCACAGTCTCCTCCTCTGAACTTGAGAGATGTCACTGTGTGTTACAATCCTGCTCTCTTCCTTCCCAGCTCCTTCAGATACAGCAACAATCCAGTCTTGCCCAAAGCCATTCAAGATTTGCCTGAGGTCACTGTGGACCCCTTCTCCTGGTGTGAATGCCATCTCCAGCAGTGGCTCACACTAACTCATCTGCAGGTGGGCAGCAAGGCCAACAAGCAGCCTCCTCCTCTTAACCCAAACTGAAAACGAGCAGGAGAAAGGTGGGACTACCTGACGCCCAATTCTCTCTTTCCCAAAAAATGTATAACTTAATTTGTGGGACAGTATTTGAGCACAGGAGACCAAAGTCATAATTCAAGTACCGTTATTCACTGAAATCATTAACTTCAGAATTTCATGTGATTGATACAGGGAATCTCCAGCTTTGTGAAGGAACAAACCAAAGTCTTCCTGGGAAATCATTACATGTTACTCAGTGATTCACTGACTGCTGGCCAGAGCACTGTTTGTAACTGATTAAACTGAATCCTTTTCAAATTCTTCCCCTCTATTAACCTCTCAGCAATTCCTTTCCTTTGTAAATTCATGGTAGTTATGTGTTACTCAGGATGATTACATGAAAGCGGTTTCAAACACAATGATTACATATTGAGAAGATGAGCTCTTTTGGGTTCATGTCACAGCCTATCTGCCTGTTTAAAAAAGGCTTCCTGTACTGTGCCATTTGCTCTTCATCAGCTAGGCAGTAAAAATACTGCTCGAATGTAGCATCTTCATTCCGTCTGACCTTTCCAGAATATTATTTGCCAGGCATACTTCAAAGTTTTCATTTCCTTCTGCAAATATAACTTGAATCTCATTCTATTATTGCAGATGGTGCCATTGAAACAAAAGCTGTTCCTTCTTTATCCCACTATATTTAGTGTGGAGGATGAAGTACAACATATGACCTGGAAATGCTGCAAACTGAGGTAAGCTCAGGGCACACTATTTAAAGTTGGATTCCACAGAGATCTGAATTGTAGTGAAAGTGGAAAATGTATAGTTCTTGGCCCTATGTTCAGCACTGAAGGACATATATATTTGAATTCGGACTGAGATCAGACTAAAAGTTAAAATGGATTTTGATCTACACACTCTTTATCAGGCTTCCATCCACTGTGAGTACTTAAAATGAAAATATTTTCCCCACAGGTTTTATATTATAATCCCTCTTATTTACACTACTCTGGATGAATACTTTGCATTATGATGAACCAGCCACAAGGTGTCAATATAGCGTAGGAGATTCTTAGTAAGGTTTGATGCGACAGCACCATTTGGCTGTGAATAGAATTAAACCCTGCCTTCTGGTGGGTTATTTGAATAGCTAATTGCAAAAATGCAGGTCAGATCACAATTTTTGTACCTGATTTATTTAATCAATGAAGTCCTCATGCTATGATTGGGCAGGAGGGATAAAAACTAGTATAAATGACTGAAGTAAAAAACATGACAAGCCACAAGTTATGTGCTACAAATAATGTAGCACTGTGTTTTAGAAGGAAAGACTGACAAAGTGGGATGCTAGACTAGTGGGGGTGAATTATTTTTGTCAAAATATGAGATGTGAGCTTAAGCAAGAGATACAACATGTGAAGTAATTAACTCTTCACAGGAAGAAGTCAACATATCTAGATGAACTGTGCTCATTTTAAGACGCTTAGTGAATGATGAGACAAGACAAAGATGAAAAAGCAATATTAAAGAGTTCCAGTTTGTCTCTTTTAGACACTGATCTATCTAAATATAAAAACACCTCAAAAGAGTCAAAGCTAAAGATGAGTTCTGAATTACAAAGGACATGGAAGCAATTTGGGTTTTTACCCTAAGAGGAGGTTAGGATCTGTGGAAGAAGGGCCTGTTAGAAATGAGAATGAATGGCTGATAGGAAAATAACTCTTAGATTTGTGGGTATTATCCCTTTGATGTATGCATTAATAGGTTTTGGCTGAGAATTTTCAAAGAGGTTAAGGACTTAGCTACTATTGAATGTCAGTGGCTTTTGGACACTTCACTGCCATAGCCTGCTTTGAAAACCCCATCTTACAATATTAATTTTAATGTATCCTTTCTATTGCAGTATGAGGGAGCAGATCCATGATACGGAGAAGAAAAGAGAAGCTACAAAAGAAAATAATATTTTTTGTATTACAGTCATTCTTTATAAATTATTATACTTTACTTAATCTACTCTGTCAAGTATAAAAGTATATCTAAAATGTGGTTGAGAGGAGGATATTACATTATATGACATCGTTCACTTGTGTTAATGACTCTGTACTTTGCACAAAGTGGAGGGCATTGGCTAGCAGATAATACCATAAAAAATACATATCATTGGCTACATTTCTTAAAAGGAGCCTGTTTATGCAAAGAGCTGTTTTTTTCAGGTTCTAAACCAGCTGTGACACCATGCTGTCCTTTGAGAGATATTTTATTGGGCAACAGATCAGTGTTGGAGGTCAAAAGAGCAACAGCAATAGATGTATCATGTTCCCTGGGGCTCCCTGGGGGCAGGTTGAGACAATAATTAGAAAAACTGCAAAGTCTGTGGGAATAAAATTCTTGCTGTTCTTGTGCTTCTCTCTTTTGCATTTCTTTTCGATATTGTGTATCTTAATGTGAGAAAAGACCCATAAGGGATACTTGTGTTAAGGGTGAATAACATGCTACAGAACAGCTTTAAGCTCTTCAGACTGAAAATACATTGAAAAGGTGGTTTTGCATATCAATGGTAAAATCTAGAAGTGATGGAAAAGTCAGCAGAGAAATACAAGTGCGATTCCTGTATGGGGCCTTACTGTCAGAGACTTGATATTCAGGTGGAGATGAGAGAATATCCTTGCTCCCTTCTGGTGGCCTAGTGACACTGTGGGGTTTAAATACTCTTTTTCTTTTACCTTTCCTCAAAAGAAAACAAACATGAACATTTTCTTTCTTTCTTGGTATAAACTGGGTAAACACTAACACAAATTACCAGTGATGTGGTAGAATTAATTTTATCATACAGTGTTTGGGTGTTGGTTTTTTTAATTGCTGTTATGCTGAAGAGAAGATAAATAGGTGTACTGTTAGAACTATTTAAGTAAAGATGTGTGATAGATTGGCAGCTTATTTTAAGAATGGGAGAATACATGTTGTTCAAGTCCCACGTACCAGAGCTGAGATGTAAGAGAGTCCCGGGGAATAATCTTCACCGTTACTCCTGGCATAAATAGCAAAAGCTTGAGGGTTTTTTTAAGAAAAGAAAGATTTCAGTCCTACAATAACCCATCCATAGTAACAGGTTACTATGACTGAAGTGCTTGTTCCTAGACAAGAGCCCAAATCAAAGGCTTAAATCTGTGTAAATGCAAAATGATTGTCTGTACAAAACCAATATATTCCTCTCCTGACAGATGCACAGGTTTCACTGTGTGTATTCTAGTCAACACATCACCAACCCCATCTGTTCTGTCTGCCTCTGAAAAATGAGCACTACTTCACAGCAGAGAAAGCACTGAGCACACAGCACCACTTGTTTGGGTTTTAACAAGTTTTATCCAGCCTGGAATAACAAAGCCATTTTGTAAGATGATGAGGCTAAACTTCTTTCTTTTACACTAAGACTGTAACATGCCCAAGACACAGAAACTGTGTTACCTGAACATTGGTAAGGAGTTTACAACGCAGCAGAAATAAATAAGAACAGTTTCTGACATAAAAAAAAAAACCAAAACCTAAGAAACTAGTGATACAGCTTAATTACCTGTTGTACCCAACCTGGTCTGCTTCCTGCTAGCTTGAGGCATAGATAAAATATACACGCTTGTCTAAAAAAAAAAGGTTTATCCTGCACGATGTCGATCAGTCTCATCCAGGTCCCCCAGGGCTTCTCATTATGTTCTTAATGTCACTACATGAACACTACTAGTTTTGTTATTGTTAAGACTGGGAGCCATTTTCTGGGCAAAGATTTTATTTTCTTGGCTGTGAACAGAAAGCAGGAGTTCCTGCCATGCTGCATGTACAGTCTCAGAGATAACACGTGTCCATGCAGCTGGAGAATCACATTGAAATCATGGGCCAATATTTGATCAGCATTGATAGCAACAGCCCTAGTGCATTGGCAAGCCATCAAACCTCTAGTAAGGAAAGCAGAGCTTTAGGGAAGGACTTGAAGGAAGATGATGTTATGGCTTTGTCCCTTTGTTGAGCTACATCAGCTATGTGCAAGAAAAGCACAAGGATACTTGTTATAAAAACTCACAGCTAAGTTATCAGAAAGCACACTGGATCTACCATCCAGGTAGGATGAGGTGTGTTACTGCTTTGCTGGCCCAGGACCCAGGTCTGCTCCATCTTGAAAGAACAGACTTTCTACTGAAAAAATAGATTATTAAGTGGAGAATTTCCCAACTTGTGTCCACTGTTACTACAGCAACTAACTTTGTGTCTTTTAGTATTTAAAAGGAGTCAGCAATGAGGATCTGGTTTAACTTCCACCATGACTAGCAACTCTATGCTTCTAGTCATCCTAGGCTTCTCCCAGCTTGGAATGTTTGTCCTAAGAACTTACTTGCTCTCAAAGCAAGACACCCACTCTAAATTCAGTAGGTTGATTTCTTCACATACCTTAATGTTTTGGCACTTCAGCCAGACACAGATTAGATGTAGGTGGCACTACTCACTGTATGAATCACAGAAGGAGGTTTAGAAGCTCATTGTCTTCGCTTAATAATGTTATCCAAATTGTAACCTTAAGATCTCAGAGGTTTTCTTGCAACAAAGCCACTTGTATGATTCTGTGTCTGTCAGCATCTCTGGACAAGCTTCATGAGAAAGAGGCTGCTTATGATTTCTTTCTGTTCATACTCTTTCACAGACATTTTCCTCAATGCTTGACTTACAGCATTGTTTATAGTTTCAGTGTGGAGTAGTCCTTAGAGAAAGTTATGAATCATTCCTGTGGCTAGTGTTGTAAAGATAATGTATAGACCACCAGAAACAGGGAATGAGTATTTGCTGTTGGCTGGATGTCAGCACAGCCTTTGATACCACTGGGCATAGCATAATTCCTCTCAAATTGGCAACAAGACTGTGAAGGTAAACCAAAGACTTACTTAATTTGGTTATATCACGAATAATCAGTTCACTTACTTACTTTCTTCCTCGCAGCCCAAGGTTCCTCCAGTGCGTATTCTGAGTAACTACAGTGAGAACTGATTATTCCTTAATCTTCTTGCTTAAAAATGCCATTTTTCTTGCTTTTATTTCTTTTTCTTGTTAAAAAAAGTCTTTGCTTTAAGAAGCCTGAATCCCCAGCGCCTTGCTGCTAATGCAGTAATTGCTAGCTGTAAAACATAGATCTGAAACATTGTCATTTCGCCAGTGTTGCTGTTCCTGTCAGTCACACAGCATTGAAGCACATTAGGGATATAAGCCAGTCTTGCAAGAAGGGATATAGGCCAAGATGCTGCTATGAAGGCTAGGAGAGCTCTAACTGCTGCTGCCTCTCAGCTGCTATATACACTATGAGGAGTCAGAGGGATAAAAAGCATTTTTACTCTTACCTGCAACTATATATATATGCAATATAACATTCAGTATTTTGAGGGTATCTCACTTTGAAATTATGCTGCAGTTTGGAACAGCCGGTGAAAGTTAGGGAGAATAGCTCTTTGCAAGTGCTTTTGAAACACAAACCATTCTTTGCAACATGCTGGTTGTACTGCAATAACATAGCACTGTGACCTGAATGCGTAGCACCTTAACCTTACAACCATAAGAAAAATGATCAAATGTTGTTCCTGAAGGCATCATTCAGAACACTGCCAGACTTGGTGTCATTGACCATGAGTCACAAATCTGATAATGCAATTTAAGGTATTGAATCATATCCTCAACTTGTGATTCATTATGGGATTTAAATGCCGTAAGTGGTGTCCTGGACTCTATTCTGGTACATACATATATATGTATTCAGATACCCTTCCAAAATAAACAAGTGACTAAGGCCCATAAATTCAGTTCGCTTCAACCACTAATAGAGTCCAGAAAGATCATGCTTTAGCTTCTTTGGCAAGGACAGTAATAAATATTCTAGTATATACTGCTCCCCCTCAGCTCTTCCTATTTTGGTCTGAGGATGCTAAAATGAATTTTTCAGCACCTCCAGAGGGGTTAGCTCTGTTTCAGGCAAAGAGAGGTAAAGTGACTTTATAGATTTCATTTAACAAATGTGGTAAGACTTCATTTCTTAAGGTACAACCTGAGGATAACTGTGCTCGTGGCAAAGTGTATGACAGAATGCAAGGGATCTGCCCCACATCTGCTCCAAAAAGAACATTCCTCACCTGAAGAAAAGAGGACTTCTCCAGAGCAGATCTGATGGAGCACACTGAATATATATGGGGTCAAATTACTGTCTTCATCTCTTGGGAGTAATATACTATTTGCTGGAAAGCAACAACTGACCATCAGATGGAATGTTTCCAAGTTTACCTTATCAGTGCACAACAGCACACTCTGTTATTCATGTTTTGAAGTTGGTACAACCATCATTTTGAATGGATAATCTCCTACTAAAGTTCAAAAACTTTTGGGTCTTTGTTCAACAATAGATAAACAAAAAATCATGGCCTATTGAGTTTGCCACTGTGACTGAATACCACCTGCTGGTTACAAAGTATTTGTAGCTACTCCGTGCAGTTCTTGTGCATTGTGTAACTTTTATTCAAAGTTGTTTATTTTCAATAGATTCTCAGAGCACTGTATACCCTCAGGACATAGATTCCCATATTGCTCTTTCCTCTTTTAACACTTCCAGTAATGACTCCCAATCACTCAACCTTGTACACCGATGCAGAGTACAAGCATTTCATTAATTGCAATGAGTCCTTTTTACAGAGGACTCATTTATCAAACAGCAAACAAGCAGAAGGTCTAAATGTTAAAGGTGTACACTCACATCAGAAATAAGGTCACCTGTACATACTAATAAGTCAAAAAGAAAATTCAGTAAGCCGTGAAGAAGACATTACTTGAGATCAGAGATTCACACTTCTGAACACATAATACTCCAACTGTGACAGCTGCAGAGTTGTTTGAAGTGCCCTCAGTGCTGTTGCATTAAAAAAATATGGGTTTTTTTGGTTGCATTAAAACAATATGGGTTTTTTTTTTAGAATCAGACATTGATTTTGATCATAATCTAATACTACATATAATTATAGAAATTAGAAGAAATCTGAGCAAGATCATGGGGGAGCTCAGTTGTGAAGTAAAGAAAGATTTACACTTTAATTCTGTGACTACTATTTTTAATCTGTGCTGTGCATCTTGTTACATCATTGTGTTGTTTTAATTGGTTATTAATACCCATTAATAAAATGTAGCAATTGATACAAAGAGCCAAATCCACTGTATGTGAATGTGATTGAAAACTAAATTTTGCAGCTGCTATTAATCTTTCCCTTTTACAGCTGAATCTAAGGTATAATTTCACTGGCTTTACAATATTTACTCTGAATTTTCACGTGTGAATATGAATGGAGAGTGAAGCATAGCAAACATTAAACACAACTTAAAAAAATAAAAA